CAGAAATTAACAACTATAGGTCACCGTACGGCCTTCAACAATGGGCACAGCCCATACCGCATGTTTGTTTATTAAAACTTAGCCAAATGAAATGCAAGGAAAAATGGCAAAATGATCGATGGCAGAGAAACACTTTTTTTAAATAAAGTTTGATATAAATAGGGCTTCTTTGATATCATATTATTCAGCCATTAACGTAAAAAGGGTGTGCTCTATGACTTATATGCCGCTTTCTTTTTTAGAATGTTCTTTTTCTCCTCTAAAAATGACATTTGTATTAATTTAGCTCCGTTCTAGACCCCACCGCGTCATCGGGATTTCCCATTCATTATTATCGATCAATACACACATACCGGTGGTTAACCATACGTGTGTTTATTTTCTAAAGTGCACCTTTAACAGTGTATTTTTCCACAATTATTAGTTGAACATATAGGACGATTTTAAACTGGGTTACTCATCTAGCTACAACTGTGCAACAACCTTCCACAGCCAAAATGGGCATCTAGTTTCGACTTTTACTGAAAACACACTTATTTAAAAAAATCTAAATTATTTACTACCTATTTATTTTAAAAAATTAATTGGATTACATATTTACAACATTTTTTTAGTCAAGGTATGATTTATACTTCATGAATGGTTTATCGAATAGGTTTTTGAAATGATTTAAGAAAAAAATAAGGAGATATTGTGGTATATGAGAACTAAGCAGACTCTTTGAGTCAAAGGACACCAACAAACTGCTGGTCACAGTCACCGCCATACGGCATTCAACAATGAGCAAATCCCAAACCATATTATTATGGGCTGTAGTGTCGGAGCTGTTATTTTCCTTTCAATTACATGATGTCAACAACGGAAATTAATAATCGAATGAAACAAGGTTGGTATGCCGGATGATAATAACAAGACAAACCCTTATCGGCTTTAAGTGTGCATCTCGTGTATTTTTTATTGATGTATCATTTTTCTGTGTAATATAAGGATTGTCTGTGAATATATAAGATATTATAAGAACAACATCGCTTTGTGAATTCCCAAATGAAAAGCTATACCTATCTTTCAATATTTTTAACGAACACAGATTGGTGGCCGCGGTTGTGCAGGTCCAAGAATATTATGCTAGCGGTGTGTGCTCTAAACTGGCATATTTTGGACATTGTTATAAATTAAATATTTTATTGGATAAAGCACACATAATATTATATGACAATGCGTATAAATATATATAACAACACGACAAAATGAATAATGTAAATAAAACATAATAAAAAGCAAGGTTTGTATATAGGGGTAATATAAAACGAACTGAAATTCATCTTCTACTTTGTCTCCGCCAAATTTGCAGAATCCTTCAGTTGCTAAATAAAGTCTTTGGTTTACTGTATCTTCCTGTTTCATTGGCAAGTGAATATGCACCAATTCTAACTTTTAAGAGACGTGATCATCCTTTTTTGGTATATCAAAGCTCAATTAAGCATACGTCCAACGGTGAGGAAATTCTAGTATAAATTCTGAGTTTAACCTGTGTTATTAGAATTAATTTGATATTTTCTATTTATAAAAGTTTTTTTTGTGAATCCTGAAACAGAGTACACGATACTTTTTTTTTAAGTGAATCCAAATTTAGTACTTTTTTTTAGTTTATATACATGATTAATGCCAGCAAGAGCTCCTCTGTAATAACAAATTATATATTTTATGAATGCAGATCTTAATAAATCAAATGTTTGTTGTTCCTAACTTCACTGTCAGTTAATTTAGCATAATATTTAAACATTAATGTACAGTATATGATATGAAATATGATGTATAAAGCTCAAGTTTTGTACGTAACGCTATATAGACTGGAAGCTTTATCATGAACACCAGGAATATTATAATGTATAAAGCTCAAGTTTTGTACATAAAGCTAGACTGGAAGCTTTATCATGGACACTAGGAATTATATAATGTATAAAGCTCAATTTTGTACGTAAAGCTAGACTGGAAGCCTTATCATGGACACCAGGAATATTATAATGTATAAAGCTCAAGTTTTGTACGTAAAGCTAGACTGGAAGCCTTATCATGGATACCAGGAATATTTTTTTTTATACAATTCTGATCCTTTTGAAGTGGAAGTTTATCTGCTGTGTCTAGGTTTATATTAAAATCTGATATCAAAATTCCACTCAAATCCACAAGGCAGTATCCATTTTTCCACTGCAATACAGTTATAGGATATGGTGATTTTGATTTAAAGGCAAAACATGCCTGCGTAGTTAATCAGCAAGATTTTCAGCTGCTATATATAATTATTTACCTCTATTGTTGAAGACAATACCTAAGTATTTACATTCAGTAGCAGACTCTAATGGTTGCGAAAAAAAACGACCTATATTTGTCTATCAGAGATCTATATCATAAACTTAGTTTTCTTGGTGTTCACAATAAGACCCGAATCACCACAAAAGAAGATGATTAAAATTTATTTGATTTAGATGAACTCATTTTTCTGGATCAGTGAAATGGGTTATAAATGAAGATGAAAGAAAATTAGTGTTGCATACTTTTTCTTGTCGTGTTGTTTTGGTAACTATTTGTTTACATGAACAAAGAGCACTAGAGATCGCTCCGGTTTTTATTGTGGATGGTGTTAAATATATAGTCATTAATTTTTTCTGCGTTTTTCTTTTAGGCCATGAGGTAGTCCAAGATTGCTTAGCAAATCCCGAAAAAAACGTTAGACGTCAGAGCAATCTCGGAATAATCATGGGGTGGTCCGTTTTTCTTCGTCTCATGGTTTATGAATGTCCCTTGTTATCTTCAGTCTTTTGTTTGGCTTCCGGTCTCATCTGCTCTTTGTGGGTTCATAGAACATGACAAACTATTACATAACTTATACATAATCATATGTAACAAATAAAAGTTTCCACTTGAAGGATACAATATGTGTAAATCACAAATATATTGATGTTTTTTATTATTTCGTATAAATGTACTCTTGTAGCTATACATAACGAATTCTTTATGATAATATATGTTTACACTAATTCGCCAATCATTGACCACTATTACTGTTGTGACCCATTCTCTTTAATATAACACAACTACAGTGTATACGTGACAGACCTTGGGATATTGGAGTATGAAGATTAAACAAATTCCTCCCTTTAAATTGGTCATGTTTATAATGTATACAAATATATAGTTAGCAATGGCAGTATGTTGATATAAGCTGTGTAAATTGATAAACCTTTGGGTAGATGTTGAAAGTATTGACGGGATGATTAGAATCTGATCCCAAGTGTTGTAGACAAAGAGTGACCAAAGGAAGATTGGTTTGGGGTGGAAGTATCAGTTGGTTGAAGTAAATGTATTGGTGATAGGTTTTGATATAGGTGTTAGAATGAAGCAAGTAGTGGACTGTTCAGTCTGGTGCACCAGTTGGAAGTTTGTACTGTTTACTGGAAAAATTTTCAGCTTCGTAACGAGCCATCACACATACTCCTAGTAGAGGATTTGAAGAAATCGTTAACCCTTACCCGAAACACATAGCGCATTTTGGCCTATATGGCATGCACCCAATAATAAGGTTTATTGATCAACTTACGAACTGGGTTTATTTGTTTATTTTTCATCAAGGTGTCCGATTAGGTAACCCATTTCTTTTATCAGTGTCAAACAATTTTCAATTCTATACTTATTATATGAATTGATACTGGTTTATTTATCACAAATTACTGAATCACTGTCTATACACATACGTTGTCTGTGTTTGCAGTGATATGTTCTGGTTTTCTGGTGAGATCTGGGAAACGGATAAGAAATTAATTTTACTCAACTTGTTTCTATACAATTATGCTGATGCATAGCTTTATTCCTTTCGGCAACTGCGAATATTGTTTGATGAGGTATAATGCAGTTCTTGTGATTTTGTTATCTTATTTATGAGTGTAGTCTTTCCTGTACTGATTTTTATTGTGTTCTTTAATGCACCTTATGTTAGACCACTAATCAAAATTAAAAGGGGGAGGGTCAGATCTTATAAATCTAGTTGAACCCTGCCACATATTAACGTCTAAAGCCAGAAATTATCCTCGTCAATGGTTAATTGTGTAATGCCTTAAAAGTGTTTTTAATTGGTGCTGATGGCAGAGTATAACAGTTTCTGTTTAATTTATTTACAACTTTTTTTTAGACTTGTAATGATTTAGAGTTTGATATATTGTCGTTTAATTGTTAGATTATATTATACAAGGTTTGAGCTATGTTATATGTACATGTATTGTTGGATTATATTATACAATATAGTTTGAGCTGTGGATATCTTAGTTAAATGTATTGTTGGGTTGTCGTCTCATTGACGTACACCCCACATCTCATTTTATCCATGTTTTAAAGGTTGATCTATCTACATTTTCATAACAAATACCTTTCAATTTTCATAGTTAAAGTACTTCCCCCATTATATTTCATTTGTTGGTATGTTTTCCAAGCTTACAAGACAGTGATCTCAAGAGTTCAGAAATGTTATTGGTCTACCTCGTATACCATCCCTTGTAAAATCAGTGGCTATGCATACATGTACATGGTGTTTAGGGCTTATTCTTTAACAAGAATTCTAAAGGTACATGTACTTGCATAAAGACTGGTAACATTCAACATTACCAAAATCTTGGTAATTATAAATACCAAATACGAAAACCTGTTAACAGAACCAATATATTAAAATTCCAGTAAGGAAGAACTTTTAAGTGTGTGTATAGGTCACATAATTTATCATTTTCCAATACCAAATTGCACTGAAATTTTTAGTTTGTGGACAAAACAAACACTTGCACAATGACAATTCAGGACAAAAGTAAATATTTCAAATACAATCAATAATTTCTTCATTTTTGCTATTGATAAGCTAATTTTCAATTCAAAACCTTTCTGATTTAACTTTGTAGAAAATTTTAATCCATGTAAAAAACCTGTTCACAAGGTAGAAAATGTAAATAAACTCTATATGACTTTTAAATTATTTATATTATAGATACATACTACATAAGTCTTGCCCCATACTTTATACATATGCAGCGGGGACAAAACCTTTTTATCACTACAAAAGTTAGAAAAAACACAACTACAATGATCTTTGTAAATTAAATATCTCTGTTCATGAAAAAGTTTGTATGAATCACATCCATAGAAATGAGTTATTATGCAGAATTTCTCACTAGTCAAATTTGGTCTCACTAAGTTTATATTGTCACTTTCTCCAATATTTGTACAATGTTTAGAAGTACATTTTCTGCAGTCATTTGATATACAATCCTTCTTATCTATTAATGTTAAATGAGAAATATGTGATGATGATGAAATACAACAACTGTGAACTAACAAAAGTCTAAAGTTTGAGCGTTCGTCATGAACACTTAGCGAGCATTTTTTCAAGTTCTTTCGGTAAAGTGGAACCAACATTTATAAACAAACTCTTCAGCACGTTCAGCTCCTTTGTCAACAAGTCTAATTTCTTGTTCAAGTTTTCGTTTTCGTCCGCCAACTGTTGCACTCTTTGTTCAGTTTCAACTTGTTTAAGTTTTGCTTTATCTCTGCTTTTTCTGACAGCCACGTTATTGCGTTCTCGCTTTTCGAAATATTCTGCCGTATCCTTAACAGGCTGACGTTTCCTTGGGCGGATCGGTCCGTTACCGGATGGTTTACGCCCTGGCTTATTTCTGAATGGACGAACTACTAAGAACTCTTGTGGTGATGCAACGGAGGATGACACACTCTCAATCTGATCCGAGAATGCTGAATCTCGGCTATTATCTTGGCTGGAATCCAAGAGATCGTTTGTGTTAACTGTGTCAACTAATTGATCTATGAACATCACCCCGTTCCCTGTATTAACGTTCTCGTCGTTGGTCATAAAGTCAATGTTATTATACAAACTACCACTTGAAACAATGTTGGTAAAAGTATTTGAAGTTACCGTATCAATAGCTGACCTTCCGTTGGCCTGTTGGACCAAATCCAATAATGTAGTATCCTCTTTGCTCACCAGTGCTGATGCAAGATTTTCAAATTCTTCTTCATTCACGTCTGCTCCTTTTAAAAGTTCTTGAATGTCAACTGATGCTTCAAAAGATGGATCCAGGTCGAATGGAACTTTGAGGTCACTTTCTGTGACGATTTCAACACCGGAGTCGTACAGGAACGTGTTCGGCAATGTCGAATTTTCTTTGAGCCATTCTTTATTCTCTAAGAAAAAATTGGTAAAATCCGTCTTATTTGGATCTGCTGTAGTTGAAAATTTTAGTGACCCTGAGGTCACAGGAGTCACTGAACGCAAATCAAAATTGCGTGTTGCTGTTACTTCAGAAGCACTGTGATATTCAGACATACCCTAGTAAGATAACTTTCATTCGGAAACTCATGCTTATATAGAGGAAATTTCTATATTCATACGCCTGAAAATTTTGTGAATGAAGTCGTTTACAATTTTAAATAAGCGTCGTTTACAAAAAGTATCACAAATTTCGCTGCAATATATATATATATTAAAGTGGAATATACTTCCAAATTTATGTGCAAAAGTGTTATAGAAATAAGTAAATCTAGTTTTCCAAGGATTATATTTTCTTGGCTGCCATGAATTCTATAAATAACCTATGATGTATAATATGTCTTTGATTGGTCAGTATTTTAAGATATTACGAACTGCACCAGGTACATTTGGAATACGTCAAGACTCTAGTCAAAACTCGTTCGAGAAAAAAAATATGCTTTTGGGAAACCCCATTCAGTGCGGTTCATAGATGTATTGCGCAATAACTCTTAACATCAATCAGGAACCATAGTTATTTCATTTTACTATTACATTTGAATGTATAAGGTCTTATATATATTTATTGATATTGTAAAAGACAAAAGACTTAATTCAAGATATTTTCTTGTCAAAAGACTAATCATTTGATAGAAATTTCGTATATGCGGGTCTATCTTTTCCCAAGGTATTTCCTTGTTGATTGGCCAATCGCAGTATTGCATCAGACCTAAACCTAGCGAGTTCAAAGAATTTTCTATTACAGCTGCTTAATTTTTCACGTTTTGCCATAATCTGGCCTAGGTAAGAATTATTCGTTTAATCTTCTTGGTGTCATCGACAAATTTATGGACTGTTGCGATAAATTTCGGTTCGAAACCAGCCTACTGAAAGTATGTCCAGGCTTGTTTTGGTTTTGAAGTGATTTCGCAATCACATAAACCAACAACACTGGAAAAATAGTACCAGCAATATGTTTGTAAACATTTTATAGTTGAAGTATGTATACAGTTATCTGAATACGTGTAATTCTTCCGTTTATTTAGATGAATATTTGCCACTGGGTGTTAAACAACTACCAAACAATTAGGATTTTTACTGTTTAAGGGATCAAAAGATGAGGCAAGATAAGAGTGAATACAAGGTCTTTATAATTCAGCACTCTATCAACATACTGATGAGTATGTGTGACAGTGACATAAATATTTATGTGCTTCGTTTTTGTCATTTCCTGTAAGCATATATTTTGTTACAGAAGTGTGCCAACACACAATGGGGTATAAAAAATGATGGTTTTGGTGGGCAATAGATAAAATATATATATATATATGGTTATTATACATGTATCTATGCTTGTATAATTTAAAATGACAAATTATATTTGGATTCTAGTAAATCGTACCAATAAAACTTCATTGATGATTGTTTAGAATTATTTTGTAAATTTCACAGGCGTTGACAACATTCTCTCCAAATCCTCGCAAATCTCATAAAATCTCACCACAAGAGAAATATGGTGACTTCATAAGAAAAACCTTCAAAGTTTCTAATCCCGTTAATATACTATTCCTAGATCACCACTGTTAAAATTTTTTAGGTTTTCCACACTTTTTTTCATCATGCTTGAAGATATTGATTGACAATTGGTAAATAGTTTTATCATGACAAGTTACAGATCAAGTTCAAATTTTTGTTTCGGTCTGATAATTTTGTGCAGAGTTATGTTCCTTGGACTTGAAAAAATTCACACATATATTCAGTTTTCCACACTGTTTTTAGTCATGCTTGTAGATATTGACTTGATATTTTCTTTTTGTTTACACCGTGACAAGTTATAGAACAAGTTAGCATTTTGTTCCAGTATAATGAATTTTTACCCGGTAGGGGACTATGTATTGCCTTGCAATACTCTCAGAATGCTTGTTCTATTAGAATATTCATGTGTCATGGTGCTAGAAAGTCATTACAGTTCCCTGATTATAGAAAAATAATCATTCATAAGTAAATAAACAATTTAGGAAATAAAAAAAAAAAAATTCTATAAATAGACTGTTGCACAGTAATACTATTGTCATTCAATATCATTACTGAGCATCACTTCTTGGTGAAGGGGAGACAACTTCTACTCAAATGTAGTACTGGATGATAATGTAAAAATGTAAAAAGAGTAAAGTTTCAAGACACAGTTTTCAATATGACTTAATTTGAGTTATTTACCTTGAGCATCATGTTGGAGTGCAAACTTATTTGACTTATAACTTAAAACATCTAGTACAAGCAATTGATTTATGTAGGTAACTGGTTGACCTCTGGCATATTTTGGTATTAATATTGATTCACTCATAGGGTCTTTGCATCGGAAATAAACACATTTATTCTAAAACCAGTTGTTGGCATGATACGGGTTATGTTTTTCTCATATACTTTATGATGGTATGATACTAAACCCCTAACGGGAGAGATTGTGTTTGATTTTCATATGATGAAGACATAAACTTTCCATCAGTTTAATTGAGGTCCGGAGCTGGCATGTCAGTAACTGCTACATGTAGTAGTCCTCTGTTAATTTATGTTTCATTGTCATTTTGCTTAGTTTCTTTTGTTACCTATTCTGACACCGGACTCTGACTTCTATTAAATTTGAGTTTTACTGTGGGTATTGCTGTGTGTTTGTTTAATCTACATTGCCTAGAGATATAGGGGAGGGGGGTGATGAAATAAAAATTGGGAGGGGGGGGGGGGGGGGGTTCAAAAGAAATTGTGAGGGGGAAATTTTTTTTTCACATTAAATTTCAGAAATTAAAAAGAAAATTTCTTCAAATTTTTTTTTGTAAAAACATTTGAAAAAGGGTGGGGTTAAAAAAAAAGGGGGGGGGGTGCAATTAGCAACAGCATAATGTACTGCACAAAAGCAAAAAATTGACAATGTCCTCTACAATGTCATACAAACTGGTACAGTACATCTACCACCAATGACAGTGTCCCCTACAATGTCATAAAAACTGAATCTTCGCTAGCCAAGGGTTACGATCCACTTCCCTCCTCTCCACCCTTGGCAGATTAAGCCAACATTTGTGATAACAATGTTGCGCCATCTATCGGTAGATTAAAGTCACACCCATTCCGAATACATCATTCTTGACCAATGGTAACACTTGAACTCTTCAATTTGGAGGTAGCGTCTAGATTCTACACACTTGGTAAAGCAGGTAACGAAAATATACGTTGACATTCATGCATTTGTGCAAGAAACATACACAGGAAATTCTATTAATTGATTAAAAACATTCAAATTGTCACTAAGTATAGGCGTATATTTAGGGATGTAAAGACTTGTTGCACAATAAGCACGTGCCAATTGTTAACATACACTTTCTACATTTACACGTAATCATGTTATAGGCACTTTTTGATTGGATGCAGCGAGTTTCAACTGCAACCAATGAAAATCATTACCATGTGTCTCCGAAATTCTATCTCAATCCGCCAAGGGTGGAGAGGAGGAAAGTGGATCGTAACCCTTGGCTAGCGAAGATGTACAAACTGGTACAGTACATTTACCACCAATGACAGTGTCCCCAACAATGTCATACAAACTGGTACAGTACATCTACCACCAATGACAGTGTCCACTACAATGTCATACAGACTGGTACAGTACATCTACCACCAATGACAGTGTCCACTACAATGTCATACAAACTGGTACAGTACATCTACCACCAATGACAGTGTCCTCTACAAAGTCATAAAAACTGGTACAGTACATCTACCAACAATGACAGTGTCCTCTACAATGTCATACAAACCGGTACAGTACATCTACCAACAATGACAGTGTCCTCTACAATGTCATACAAACCAGTACAGTACATCCATCAGATGACAGTGTCCTCTACTATGTCATACAAACCAGTACAGTACATCTACCACCAATGACAGTGTCCTCTACAATGTCATACAAACTGGTACAGTACATCTATCACCAATGACAGTGTCCTCTACAATGTCATACAAACCAGTACAGTACATCCATCAGATGACAGTGTCCTCTACAATGTCAAACAAACCGGTACAGTACATCTACCACCAATGATAGTGTCCTCTACAATTTCATACAAACCGGTACAGTACATCTACCACCAATGACATTGTCCACTACAATCTCATACAAACCGGTACAGTACATCTACCACCAATGACATTGTCCACTACAATGTCATACAAACCGGTCCAGTACATCTACCACCAATGACATTGTCCACTACACTGTCATACAAACTGGTACAGTACATCTACTACCAATGACATTGTCCACTACAATGTCATACAAACTGGTACAATACATCTACCACCAATGACAGTGTCCTCTACAATGTCATACAAACTGGTACAGTACATCTACCACCAATGACAGTGTACCCTACAATGTCATACAAACTGGTACAATACATCTACCACCAATGACAGTGTCCTCTACAATGTCATACAAACTGGTACAGTACATCTACCAACAATGACAATGTCCCGTACAAAGTCATACAAACTTGTACAGTACATCTACCACCAATGACAGTGTCCCCTACAATGTCATACAAACCGGTACAGTACATCTACCACCAGTGACAGTGTCCTCTACAATGTCAAACAGACTGGTACAGTACATCTATCACCAATGGCAGTGTCCACTACAATGTCATACAAACTGGTACAGTACATCTATCACCAATGACAGTGTCCTCTACAATGTCATACAAACCAGTACAGTACATCCATCAGATGACAGTGTCCTCTACAATGTCATACAAACTGGTACAGTACATCTACCACCAATGACAGTGTCTCCTACAATGTCATACAAACTGGTATAGTACATCTACCACCAATGACAGTGTCCCCTACAATGTCATACAAACCGGTACAGTACATCTACCACCAATAACAGTGTCTCCTACAATGTCATACAAACCGGTACAGTACATCTACCACCAATGATAGTGTCCTCTACAATGTCATACAAACCAGTACAGTACATCTACCACCAATGACAGTGTCTCCTACAATGTCATACAAACTGGTACAGTACATCTACCATCAATGACAGTGTCCCCTACAATGTCATACAAACCAGTACAGTACATCTACCACCAATAACAGTGTCTCCTACAATGTCATACAAACCGGTACAGTACATCTACAACCAATGACAGTGTCCACTACAATGTCATACAAACCAGTACAGTACATCTACCACCAATGACAGTGTCCTCTACAATGTCATACAAACTGGTACAGTACATCTACCACCAATGACAGTGTCCACTACAATGTCAAACAGACTGGTACAGTACATCTACCACCAATGACAGTGTCCTCTACAATGTAATACAAACCAGTACAGTACATCTACCACCAATGACAGTGTCCACTAAAATGTCATACAAACTAGTACAGTACATCTACCACCAATGACATTGTCCACTACAATGTCATACAAACCAGTACAGTACATCTACCACCAATGACAGTGTCCTCTACAATGTAATACAAACCAGTACAGTACATCTGCCACCAATGACAGTGTCCACTACAATGTCATACAAACCAGTACAGTACATCTACCACCAATGACAGTGTCCACTACAATGTCATACAAACCAGTACAGTACATCTACTACCAATGACAGTGTCCACTACAATGTCATACAAACTGGTACAGTACATCCATCAGATGACAGTGTCTTCTACATTGTCGTACAAACCGGTACACTACATCTACCACTAATGACAGTGTCCCCTACAATGCTTTTTATATGACCTCAAAAAATTTGCGTCGTATATTGTTATCATGTTGTCGTCGTTTGAAGACACATTTGGTTTCTGAACAATAACTTTAGTTTAAGTGAATGGATCTCTATTTTTCTATACCAGAAGGTTCAATACCACAAATGGAAGGTTGGGATTGATTTTGGGGGTTATGGTACCAACAGTTAAGGAATTAGGGGCCAACAAGGGGCCAAAAATAAGCATTTTCTAGTTTCCAGACAATAACTGTGGAACGGTGTATGGATCTCTCTGAAATTATACTATAAGTTTCCATACCACAAAGGGATGGTTAGGATTTGCTTTGGGGGGTTATGGCTCAAACCGTTTAGGAATTAGGGGCAAAAAAGGGGGAAAAACAGGGTTGTCCTGGTTAATGGACAAATACTTTAGTACAAAACATAATTTAAAGCAGTGTAAGGGAGATAAATCAAATACATCATTGAAATTATCTCCCTTACACTGCTTTTAAATTATGTATAAAGTAATGGTTAATGAACAATAAAGATAATTTAAAACAGTGTAAGGGAGGTAATCCAAATACAACGTTTTGGTTACTTCCCTTACACTGCTTTTAAATTATGTTTAAAGAAATGCATATTTATAAAGGAAGACCAGTTAAAATATCTGCAAATGTTGCATCTTTTTTTTTTACAAAAAAATCCATATGAAAGATTTGACACTATATTTTTATACGACCGCAAAAAAATTTTGTGGTCGTATATTGGTATGACGTTGGCGTCGTCGTCGTCGTCGTCCGGCGTCGTCGTCGTCGTCCTGTGTCGTCGTCCGAATACACATTGGTTTTCGCACTCTAACTTTAGTTTAAGTGAATGGATCTTTTTGAAATTTGACCATAAGGTTAAATACCACAAAAGGAAGGTTGGGATTGATTTTGGGGGTTATGGTACCAACAGTTAAGGAATTAGGGGCCAAAAATAAGCATTTTCTAGTTTCCAGACAATAACTGTGCAACGGTGTATGGATCTCTCTGAAATTATACTACAAGTTTCCATACCACAAAGGGATGGTAAGGATTTGCTTTGGGGGGTTATGGCTCAAACCGTTTAGGAATTAGGGGCAAAAAAGGGGGAAAAACAAGGTTGTCCTGGTTAATGGACAAATACTTTAGTACAAAACATAATTTAAAGCAGTGTAAGGGAGATAAATCAAATACATCATTGAAATTATCTCCCTTATACTGCTTTTAAATTATGTATAAAGTAATGGTTAATGAACAATAAAGATAATTTAAAACAGCGTAAGGGAGGTAATCCAAATACAACGTTTTAGTTACTTCCCTTACACTGCTTTTAAATTATGTTTAAAGAAATGCATATTTATAAAGGAAGACCAGTAAAAATATCTGCAAATGTTGCATCTTTTTTTTTTACAAAAAAATCCATATGAAAGATTTGACACTATATTTTTAATTCTATTATAAAATAGATTAAGTTAGCACTATGGTAAATTTAAATGGGTAATTATGGTTGCCAACTCCATTGGAAATTTGAATTGAGATTATGACTATATCTTGAGGGAAAGAATTTTTTGGGGGAAAAAAGGTGGGGGGGGGGGGATAAAAAGAAATTGTGGGGGGTCATTTTTTTCTCATTTCAGATTTCAGAAATTAAAAACAAATATTCTTCAAATATTATTTTTTTTTCAAATTTCAAATATTGAAAAATTTCAAGAAGTAATCTTTAATTGCACAGTATGGCGCATTAGATTTGTAAAATCTTTGATCACATTTATTTATTTGTTATGCCGAATCTAACAGTGTATTTAGATTTTTAATTTTGGGTCCAGTTTTCAAATTGGTCTACATTAAGGTCCAAAGGGTCCAAAATTAAACTTTGTTTGATTTTAGCAAAAATTGAATATATGAGGTTCTTTGATATGCTGAATCTAAACATGTATTTAGATTGGCCCAGTTTTCAAGTTAGTCCAAATTGGGGTCCAAAATTAAACTTTGTTCGATTTCAACAAAAATTAAATATATGGGGTTCTTTGATATGCTGAATCTAACCATGTATTTAAATTTTTTATTTGTGGACCCCGTTATCAAATTGGTTCATATTGAGGTTAAAAGGGTCCAAATTTAAACTTTGTTTGATTTCATCTAAAATTGAATTATTGGGGTTCTTTGATATTCCAAATCTAACCGTGTATTTAGATTTTTAATTTTGGGTCCTGTTTTTTAATTTGGTCTACATTAAGGTCCAAAGGGTCCAAAATTAAGCTTAGTTTGATTTTAACAAAAATTGAATTCTTGGGGTTCTTTGATATGCTGAATCTAAACATGTGTTTAGATTTTTGATTATGGGCCCAGTTTTCAAGTTGGTCCAAGATAGGGTCCAGTATTTAAACTTTGTTTGATTTCAACAAAAATTGAATATATGGGGTTCTTTGATATGCTGAATCTAAACATGTATTTAGATTTTTGATTATGGGCCCAGTTTTCAAGTTGGTCCAAATTGGGGTCCAAAATTAAACTTTGTTTGATTTCCACAAAAATTGAATATATGAGGTTCTTTGATATGCTGAATCTAACCATGTATTTAGATTTTTTTTAATTGTGGGCCCCCCTATCAAATTGGTTCACATTGAGGTCAAAAGGGTCCAAAATTAAACTTTGTTTGATTTCATCAAAAATTGAATTATTGGGGTTCTTTGATATTCCAAATCTAACCGTGTATTTAGATTTTTAATTTTAGGTCCCGTTTTTTAAATTGGTCTACATTAAGGTCCAAAGGGTCCAAAATTAAACTTAGTTTGATTTTAGCAAAAATTGAATTCTTGGGGTTCTTTGATATGCTGAATCTAAACATGTGTTTAGATTTTTGATTATGGGCCCAGTTTTCAAGTTTGTCCAAGTTGGGGTCCAAAATTAAACTTTTTTTGATTTCAACAAAAATTGAATATATGGGGTTCTTTGATATGCTGAATCTAACCATGAATTTTGATTTTTTATTTGTGGGCCCCGCTATCAAATTGGTTCATATTGAGGTCAAAAGGGTCCAAAATTAAACTTTGTTTGATTTCATCTAAAATTGAATTATTGGGGTTCTTTGATATTCCAAATCTAACCGTGTATTTAGATTTTTAATTTTAAGTCCCGTTTTTTAAATTGGTCTACATTAAGGTCCAAAGGGTCCAAAATTAAACTTAGTTTGATTTTAACAAAAATTGAATTCTTGGGGTTCTTCGATATGCTGAATCTAAACATGTGTTTAGATTTTTGATTATGGGCCCAGTTTTCAAGTTTGTCCAAGTTAGGGTCCAAAATTAAACTTTTTTTGTTTGATTTTAACAAAAATTGAATATATGGGGTTCTTTGATATGCTGAATCTAACCATGTATTTTGATTTTGGACATTGGACCATAATAGGTAAATTAAAAAAATTCAAGTTCTTAGACCACATTCTTTCTGTGTCAGAAACCTATGCTGTGTCAAATATTTAATAACAATCCAAATTCAGAGCTGTATCAAGCTTGAATGTTGTGTCCATACTTGCCCCAACTGTTCAGGGTTCGACCTCTGCGGTCGTATCAAGCTGCGCCCCAGCGAAGCATTTTATTAATTCTATTATAAAATAGATTAAGTTAGCACTATGGTAAATTTAAATGGGTAATTATGGTTGCCAACTCCATTGGAAATTTGAATTGAGATTATGACCATATCTTGAGGGAAAGAATTTTTTTGGGGAAAAAAAGGGGGGGGGGGGGATAAAAAGAAATTGTGGGGGGTCAATTTTTTCTCATTTCAGATTTCAGAAATTAAAAAGAATTATTCTTCAAAAATTATTTTTTTTTCAAATTTCAAATATTGAAAAATTTCAAGAAGTCTTTAATTGCACAGTATGGCGCATTAGATTTGTAAAATCTTTGATCACATTTATTTATTTGTTATGCCGAATCTAACAGTGTAATTAGATTTTTAATTTTGGGTCCAGTTTTCAAATTGGTCTACATTAAGGTCCAAAGGGTCCAAAATTAAACTTTGTTTGATTTTAGCAAAAATTGAATATATGAGGTTCTTTGATATGCTGAATCTAAACATGTATTTAGATTTTTGATTTTTGGCCCAGTTTTCAAGTTGGTCCAAATTGGGGTCCAAAATTAAACTTTGTTTGATTTCAACAAAAATTGAATATATGGGGTTCTTTGATATGCTGAATCTAACCATGTATTTAGATTTTTTATTTGTGGACCCCGTTATCAAATTGGTTCATATTGAGGTCAAAAGGGTCCAAAATTAAACTTTGTTTGATTTCATCAAAAATTGAATTATTGGGGTTCTTTGAAATTCCAAATCTAACCGTGTATTTAGATTTTTAATTTTGGGTCCTGTTTTTTAAATTGGTCTACATTAAGGTCCAAAGGGTCAAAAATTAAACTTAGTTTGATTTTAACAAAAATTGAATTCTTGGGGTTCTTTGATATGCTGAATCTAAACATATGTTTAGATTTTTGATTATGGGCCCAGTTTTCAAGTTGGTCCAAGATAGGGTCCAGTATTTAAACTTTGTTTGATTTCAACAAAAATTGAATATATGGGGTTCTTTGATATGCTGAATCTAAACATGTATTTAGATTTTTGATTATGGGCCCAGTTTTCAAGTTGGTCCAAATTGGGGTCCAAAATTAAACTTTGTTTGATTTCAACAAAAATTGAATATATGAGGTTCTTTGATATGCTGAATCTAACCATGTATTTAGATTTTCTATTTGTAGGCCCCGCTTTCAAATTGGTTCATATTGAGGTCAAAAGGGTCCAAAATTAAACTTTGTTTGATTTCATCAAAAATTGAATTATTGGGGTTCTTTGATATGCCAAATCTAACCGTGTTTTTAGATTTTTAATTTGGGTCCTGTTTTTTAAATTGGTCTTCATTGAGGTCCAAAGGGTCCAAAATTAAACTAAGTTTGATTATAACAAAAATTGAATTCTTGGGGTTCTTTGATATGCTGAATCTAAACATGTGTTTAGATTTTTGATTATGGGCCCAGTTTTCAAGTTGGTCCAAGTTGGGGTCCAAAATTAAACTTTTTTTGATTTCAACAAAAATTGAATATATGGGGTTCTTTGATATGCTGAATCTAACCATGAATTTAGATTTTTTTTTTGTGGGCCCTGCTATCAAATTGGTTCATATTGAGGTCAAAAGGGTCCAAAATTAAACTTTGTTTGATTTCATCAAAAATTGAATTATTGGGGTTCTTTGATATTCCAAATCTGACCGTGTATTTAGATTTTTAATTTTAAGTCCCTTTTTTTAAATTGGTCTACATTAAGGTCCAAAGGGTCCAAAATTAAACTTAGTTTGATTTAAGAAAAAATTGAATTCTTGGGGTTCTTTGATATGCTGAATCTAAACATGTGTATAGATTTTTGATTATGGGCCCAGTTTTCAAGTTTGTCCAAGTTGGGGTCCAAAATTAAACTTTGTTTGATTTTAACAAAAAATGAATATATGGGGTTCTTTGATATGCTGAATCTAACCATGTATTTTGATTTTGGACATGGGACCATAATAGGTAAATTAAAAAAATTCAAGTTCTTAGACCACATTCTTTCTGTGTCAGAAACCTATGCTGTGTCAAATATTTAATAACAATCCAAATTCAGAGCTGTATCAAGCTTGAATGTTGTGTCCATATTTGCCCCAACTGTTCAGGATTCGACCTCTGCGGTCGTATCAAGCTGCGCCCCAGCGAAGCATTTTATTAAATTGGTCAACATTGAGGTCCAAAGGGTCCATTATTAAACTTTGTTTGATTTCATCAAAAATTTAATTATTGCGGCTCTATGATATGCTGAATCTTATTGTGCATTTAGATTTTTTATTTTGGGCCCTGTTTTCAAATTAGTCCATATCAAGGTTTGAAGGGTCCAAAATTAAACTTTGTTTGATTTCAATTAAAAAATTCAATTTTGGTGTTTTTTATATGCTGAATCTAACCATGATGACAGATTTTGGATATCAGATAGACCATAATAGGTAAATTAAATGTCCCATTTCAAATTTTTAAGATCTTTGACCACACATTTATTTTGTGGCAAAAACCTATATTATGTCAAAAATTTGATCACAATCCAAATCGGTCGTATCAGGCTGCGTGGCGAAGCATTTTATCTTCTATTGTTAAAACAATGTTATTAGTAATGACATGAGGCAATGTTTTATTTTTGGTGAGTTATTAGGGCCAAAGAAGCCCTAAAGTGTACCTTGTTCTTTGTATGTTAATTATTGTGTTTGTAAACAGGTCACTGAAGATTAAGAAAAGTAAACTTTGGTGAGTTTGGACTCCCTGAATTTTTATTCTAAATTAATTTTTTTGCATATTTTTTTAAGTAAGTTTTTGGGATTCTGGTCAGGTTCTTTCACTTGATTAAAATTTATTTATTTTTTTCGCACAGACAAAGAAGCAAGATGGAACATCCCTCGAAAAGACAGTTTACAACCAGTGATGAAGATGGAAGTAGCATGGATGATACCTCACCAAAATACAAACGAAAAAAATTAGAAAAAGGAAGTGATGAATATGTTATGAGAAGGGTGAGAAATAACATGGCTGTCAAAAAAAGCAGAGAAAAGAGTCGACAGAAAGCAAAGGAAACAATGGATCAGGTTGATAAACTTAGAAAGGAAAATGAGACATTGGAACAAAAAGTTACAATTCTATCAAAAGAGCTGGGTGTGTTAAAGGACTTATTCTTGGCTCATGCTGGATCAGTTTCACAAAACGAGTGCTCTGGGAATGCAGCATCAACATCTGGGATCAAAGATGAACCTACAAATTCTGGGGTCAAAGATCACGAATATTCAACATTTTCTGTTTGACAGTTACCATCATGAATACACACATAAATCATGATCATTATTTTGTAAATGACTGATTGATACCAGTGATTAGATGTTTTAGACTTGATTATATAACATTGTTGGTTAATGATTTCAGTTTTTATGTCTAAAGTTTTTTTATTATTTTTTTATCAAGGATATTAAGTTTATTTTAATTTAAAGTAAGCAAAATATATATACTATGTATAACATGTATTTAATGTTGTAAGATACTACTGTTTGTACTGTTAATTTATCTACTTTGTTATGTATAATGAAAATAAGTCGAGTTGCCAAAGTGTTTTTTTTTAATTTTCTGAAAGTATTCAAGTATATACAGCACTATTTTCTCATGAGCAATTTGAAATATTTATCTTTTAGTTATGATTCTAGTCATATAAAAGTGCTTTTTATACGACCGCAAAAAAATTTTTGTGGTCGTATATTGGTATGACGTTGGCGTCGTCGTCGTCGTCGTCCGGCGTCGTCGTCCGAATACACATTAGTTTTCGCACTCTAACTTTAGTTTAAGTGAATGGATCTCAATGAAATTTTACCATAAGGTTCAATACCACAAAAGGAAGGTGGGGATTGATTTTGGGGGTTATGGTACTAACAGTTAAGGAATTAGGGGCCAAAAGGGGCCAAAAATAAGCATTTTTGTAACTTCCAGACATAACTTGTGTGTAAGTGTATGGATCTCTCTGACATTGTACCACAAGGTTCCATATCACAAAGGGAATGCTGGGATTGATTTTGGGGTAATTGCCTCCAAATTTTAGGAATTAGGGGCCAAAAAGGGGCAAAAAACAAGCATTTTTCTAGTTTCATGACAATAACTTGTTTGTAATTGTATGGATCTTTATGAAATTGTATTACAAGGTTCCATATCACAAAGGGAATACTGGGATTGATTTTTGGGGTAATTTCCTCCAAATTTTAGGAATTAGGGGCCAAAATGGGGCAAAAAACAAGCATTTTTCTAGTTTCATGACAATAACTTGTTTGTAAGTGTATGGATCTTTATGAAATTGTACTACAAGGTTCCATATCACAAAGGGAAGGCTGGGATTGATTTTGGGGGTTTTCCCTCAAAATTTTAGTAATTAGGGGCCATAAAAGGGCAAAAAAAACATGCATTTTTCTAGTTTCAGGACAATAACTTGTGTGTAAGTGTATGGATCTTTATGAAATTGTACTGCAAGGTTCCATATCACAAAAGGAAAGCTGGAATTGAGTTTGGGGGTAATTGCCCTAAACGTTTAGGAATTTGGGGCCAAAAAGGGGCCAAAAAAACAAGCATTTTTCTAGTTTCCAGACAATAACTTGTGTTCAAGTGTATGAATCTCTCTGAAATTGTACTGCAAGGTACCATACCACAAAGGGAAAGCTGGGATTGAGTTTGGGGGTGATGAATCATAAGGGGGTTCAAAAAATTGGGGGGGGGGATTTTTTTTTCATTTTTTTTCTTTAACATTTTCCATTTTAAATTGGTTATTTCTGATTTATATATAAAAGCAAATAATAATGATATGGTTTGAATAGGCATACATGTGAACCTCCCGACGGGAGTACAATAATCCCGTTTTCAGGGGTCTCCTCCCGACCTCCCGTTGAAGAGGAAAAAATCCCGTGTATGAAATTTTTCACGAATGAAAAATTTCTGCCCAACATATCATCTCAGGCATCTGGTGTAACTGACATTACCTGAAGTTATATTTTACCTGTAAATCAATTAACATGCATAATTATATGGCTTCACTTGTCAGCTTGGGTGTCAAACATACTGGTAATCAACGATTTTTACCTCAGGCTAACTGCCGTTGTGTAACAAAAACTGTGTATTTATTGGGTTACTTCCCTTGATTTATCCTGTTTTAAGTTACTTTCCTTTTAATAATGAAAATTTTTAAAAGAATATAAATAAAATATAAATTGAACAAATAATCATAAAAGGATGGTTATTAAATGATTTTAAATGTCTTAGGACAAATAAAAAAATAATAATTTGAAAATTATTTGAGGATTCTATACTTCCTTTCAAGGCTTAAATTGAAATTTATATAATAACTATGACCCTAATTTTACAGACAGAATGATTTTCTGAGTTTGCAAATAAAAACTATTTGCAAGAGAAAAAAAAAAAAAAAAAACATATTTGCAGATAGCTAAACAAATGTTCTGGATGCAATGATTGTTTTATAGAATTTGAAGTAAAAAATTTAAAGAACATACTGGAAAAAAACAATGTTAGATTGAACATGTAGAATATAAAGATGGAGAAACTTTATAAGTACAAGGGTACTATAATCATAATAAATTGGATGGAAAGTTGAAGAAAACACACTTTAAAAGACCATTTTTACAGCACACGGTTACATTTACAACAAAATTAATGTCGATTAAAAACCTCCTGATCTGAGTCCTAATCTCCTGACCAAAATTTCCCAATCTCCTGATCTGAGTTTCACAGTCCATCACATGTATGAGTAGGTAAATTGAAAATTTTTAAGTTCTTAGACCACTTTCATTCTGTGTCAGAAACCTATGCTGTGTCAAATATTTAATTACAATCCAAATTCAGTGCTGTATCAAGCTTGAATGTTGTGTCCATACTTGCCCCAACTGTTCAGGGTTCGACCTCTGCGGTCGTATCAAGCTGCGCCCCAGCGGAGCATTTTATTCTCAGCATAATTCAAACAAAATATGATTTTGCCTAAAACCTTTGATTTTTAAAAAGCTAAATATACTACATTGTATTATTATATTATTTTACCGCCCTCATGATTTCTTATTGTATACACAAGAACTATTTAGTAAGTAAACCCTTTCATTGGAAAATTCTAACATACAAGAAAGCTGTTATCAATTACATGGCAATTCAAATGGCAAAAATAATGGATAAAAACAAATGTAATTTTCCCTAAAAAAATATGCTATATATTTTTTCTTGACCAAAGATTGCCAGAAATAGGTATTAGGCAGCTTTTTATACAACCACAAAAAATTTTTGCAGTCGTATATTGGTATGACGTTGGCGTTGGCGTCGTCGTCGTAGTTGGCGTCGTCCGAAGACACATTGGTTTTCGCACAATAACTTTAGTTTAAGTGAATGGATCTCTATGGAATTTTACCTTAAGGTTCAATACCACAAAAGGAAGGTTGGGATTGATTTTGGGGGTTATGGTACCAACAGTTAAGGAAGAAGGGGCCAAAAATAAGCATTTTTGTGACTTCCAGACAATAACTTGTGTGTTAGTGTATGGATCTCTCTGACATTGAACCACAAGGTTCCATAACACAAAGGGAATGCTGGGATTGATTTTGGGGGTAATTGCCTCAAAATTTTAGGAATTAGGGGCCACAAAAGGGGCAAAAAACAAGCATTTTTCTAGTTTCATGACAATAACTTGTGTGTAAATGTATGGATCTTTCTGAAATTGTACTACAAGGTTCCATATCACAAAGGAAAAGCTGGAATTGAGTTTGAGGGTAATTGCCCAAAACATTTAGGAATAAGGGGCCAAATATAAGCATTTTTATACGCCCGTTTACGGGACGTATTATGGTATACCGTTGTCCGTCTGTCCGTCCGTCGTCAACATGTCGGACATTAACTCAAAAACGCTTTAACCAATTTGCATAAAACTTTGGTGAATTGTTTATATCTATTGACGTGAGCTCCCTTTCGTTTTTTATAAATTTTAGATTCTACGTTTCCGAGTTATGGGGTTTTATTCATTAAAAAAAGGGGGATTTCCCAGTTTTGGGACAATAACTCAAGAGTGCTTTCACCAACTTGCAAGAAATTGTGGTGAATTGTTTATATCTATTGACATGAGCTCCCTTTGGATTTTTATATATTTTAGATTTTACGTTTCCGAGTTACAGGGTTTTATTCATAAAAAAAGGGGGATTTTCCAGTTTTCGGACAAAAAATCAAAAATACTTTCTGCAGTTCTTATGAAACTTTGGTGAATTGTTTATATCTATTGATGTAAGCTCTGTTTAGAATTTTATAAATTTAACATTTTACATTTCTGAGTTATGGGGTTTTATTCATTAAAAAAAGGAGGATTTTCCAGTTTTCGGACAATAACTCATAAATGCTGTCAGCAATTCTCATGAGACTTTGGTGAATTGTTTATATCTATTGATGTAAGCTCCCTTTACATTTTCATTAATTTCTAATATGACATTGAGAATTAATTGAACTTTAATTGTTTATAGTCTGACAACAGATTTACTAAGTATTGCACAACAGCACAGTGTATTGCACAACAGCAAGAAATCTTTAATTGAATATAAATTCAATTCATATAAACAATTTCAAGTTCTTTGACTAAATTTATTCAGAAACCTATAATATGTCAAATATTTAATACAATCCAAATTCAGACCTGTATCAAGCTTGAATATTGTGTCCATTTTTGCCCCAACTGTTCAGGGTTGGACCTCTGCGGGCGTATCAAGTTGCGCTCAGCGAAGCAGTTTATTCTAGTTTCCAGACAATAACTTGTGTTCAAGTGTATGGATCTCTCTGAAATTGTACTGCAAGGTACCATACCATAAAGGGAAGGCTGGGATTGATTTTGGGGGTAATTGCCTCAAAATTTTAGGAATTAGGGGCCAAAAAGGGGCCCAAAACAAGCATTTTTCTAGTTTCAGGACTATAACTTGTGTGTAAGTGTATGGATCTTTATGAAATTGTACTACAAGGTTCCATATCACAAAGGAAAAGCTGGGTTTGAGTTTGGGGGTAATTGCCCTAAACGTTTAGGAATTTGGGGCCAAAAAAGGGGCAAAAAAACGCATTTTTCTAGTTTCAAGACAATAACTTGTGTTCAAGTGTATGGATCTCTCTGAAATTGTACTGCAAGGTACCATACCACAAAGGGAAGGCTGGGAATGAGTTTGGGGGTGATGAATCATAAGGGGGTTCAAAATATTTTGGGGGTGATTTTTTTTTCTTTAAAATTTCCATTTTAAGTTGGTTATTTTCTGATTTATATATATAGCAAATACTAATGATATGGTTTGAATATGTAAATTAAAAATTTTTAAATTCTTAGACCACGTTCATTCTGTGTCAGAAACCTATGCTGTGTCAAATATTTAATCACAATCCAAATTCAGAGCTGTATCAAGCTTGAATGTTACGTCCATACTTGCCACAATTGTTCAGGGTTAGACCTCTGCGGTCGTATCAAGCTGCGGCCAGCGGAGCATTTTATTATTTCAGAGGGTAGAAGAACCAGACAATAATAATATTTTGTACATACCTGTAGATCGCTTAGT